CAGCAGCAGTCGTGGTGGTGGTGGTGATAGTAGTAGTAGTAGTAGTAGTAGTAGTAGTAGTAGTTGTAGTAGTAGCAGTAGTAGTAGTAGTAGTAGTAGTAGTAGGATTTCAGGGTTTTCCATTTAACGGAACTTCTACAGTTATCGTATGATTAACCACATGTTCCGATAGAAACGGAGCAAGCATGTACAGAGATATATATATATATATGCATATATATATATATACACACATACCACACGCATACATCCATCCATCCATCCATCCATCCATCCATGCAGACCTGCTTGTTTACATACATGTATAGCAGACTGTATACATCAATACACGACACCTATAGTTCCATGCACATATAGCCTGGCGAGCGAACACAACAAGGTACTAATGATGCTACTGCTCTGCCGCTGCCATTGATGCCACTACAACTATTGCCACCCCTGGCCATGCTACTCACAAAGCGAGGCTTCAAGGGTCAAGAGTGCAGAGGTGCACTTGCAACAAGAACATTATCGAGCAGTAATGTGCGACCGTCTCAATACGGCCTCAGTACAGCGTTACATAGCACTGAAAGAAGATAAAGCCGAACCAAGGATGAATACGAACCTCTTAATCAGAAAGTTTTGGAAACATCGAGTCTCAGATCGTGCAGGCTCCAAGGTGCAGGCTGCATGGCTAGCGGCTGCATTCGCTGCGATTTTCGCCGCTATTTTGGAGCTTTTCTCCTTTCCAACGCCTGCTAACATCAACATGTCATGGGCAACACAAGCACTCGAAGTCCACTGAACCGCCCATCCCGCGCCGATTCCCGAGACGATGGCCTGAAGCGATAACTGCAGCCCGGACTTTGCGGCCTGCAAGCAGACATCCCACGACCAAGAAGCAACTTCCGGTGGCATATGCCAAACCCAAATCTTTGCCCAAGTGCACCCGCCAAAGAAAGGTGCCCCTCTGTTCAGTCCATAAGTCAAGGGGCTCATCCACTCCGGGCTCAACCCAGAGCTCAGGCTCTGTTCTGCGACCTTGCTTGTCGAACGCGTTATCAACCGCAAATGGACGAAGGTCTAATGCATATACGCACAGACACGTGCGTAAGGTGCAAACGCACACGTACATACATAAATATGCCTGTACATATGTACATATATGTATATCTACATATGTCTTACATACATACTTGCATGTATACACTAGTATGCACATGGCTATGTACAAAATCCACGTATGTAAATGCATGTAGAGAGCCGGTTTGGAGGTCACTTATCCGCAAGGACAGCGTTTTTGCCCAGCACTTCCTTCGACGCATTTGAAGACCAAGCCGGCTCTACCTACTTTTTGCCACCATCTTGCAGTCGCGTCCGTGACATTTGACTCGTTGTCTCTGCCATCATGGCTGCATGCTATGAAGGACTCGCAAAACCAGTCATTTCCGAAGTTCCCAAAGTCCCTCTCGAGATCCTCGGGGGGCCGGCTTCTGCTCCAGATGCTGCAGCAACGAGGTCGGCGGCTACTGACAATGGCCTGAGGCTGCGGATGAGAGGTTTTCCACCGATTGGTGGCCACTAGAAAATATTGACAGTCCTTGCAATCGTGGTGGCGGCGAAAGGTAAGTCGTCGTGGCAGTGGAGTAGTCGTCGTCGTAGAAGTAACAATAGCAGTGGTGGTAGCGGTGGTGCTCAGTAGCAGTACCAGCGGCATCATCAGTAGCTTTGATTTTTGTCACCCAGCAGTAGTAGTAGTAGTAGTAGTAGCAGTAGTAGTAGTAGTAGTAGTAGTAGTAGCAGTCGTAGCAGTAGTAGTAGTAGTAGTAGTAGTAGTAGTAGTAGTAGTGGTAGTAGTAGTAGTAGAGTAGT